CTCCTATGGCATCTGCGCATGCCTCCTGTGTGCCCTGTGTGTATCCCTGTGTAATGCATTCCATTCTATGAACGCTAGTGTACGCTTATCTGCAAGATTAACATGTGTGGAGAAGGATCCGCTTTGCTTAGACTATAATGAGCTGGATCATGTGAAGCTTTAATTGTTTATCTTTATAGAAACGTTGCTTCTCAGGCTTTTGAGCGCGAATACGAAAGTCTGCCCACGCGGCGGGAACCAAGCCTATTGGTTATTATCGGTTTGAATGTCTTTCATTATCCCCTGTTCAGCCCGTCCTAGGTAACAGTGCACTTGTTCCTGCTCTAACATGGCTTTAATAAAATACTACTTTGCTTAAACGTGTATTGGACTTATAGCTGTGAGGGATCGGACAGAGACAGGATGCTGGACTAGATGGACCACTGGCCTGATCCAGCAGGGCTCTTCTGATGTTCTGATGTTCTTAAATAAATACATTTCTTTTTAAGCTCCCAGCAGGCCAGTACCTGACTTCCTTGGCCCTGAGGAACCTGTCCTGTTAATACATGAAGTTGCCTTATATGGAATCAGACCCTTGATCTTTCAAGGTCAGCATTGTCTACTCAGACTGGAAGCAGCTCTCCGGGGTCTCAGGTAGAGGTCTTTCTCAACACCTTCTACCTGTTTCTTTCACCTGGGGCTTCCGGGTATCGAACCGAGAACCTTCTGCATGCAAAGCAAAAGCTCTTGTGATTCGCTGCTAGCATTCTACTCTGCATGCATTTATTCCCAAGAGCACCCATCAAGTCGGGTAAGTTCAGTTTAGTTTTTCCCATGCCGTTGTGGCTAGTTTCTGTGGCCATGTGAGCGTTTACGCCAGAAGCCCAGGTTTCGATCCGGATCTCTGTTGCTTGCAACGTTTGGATTTTTATTTCTGGGGAACCGCATGGACGGCTACAAGTGCCGGAACGAAGTGCAAGGGCTATAAATATTCCCTAAGTAAAAGCTTACCAAAAAATGGCAGATGGTAGCGCCATCTTAAAGAGGAATTTCCCCTTCAGCCGAGCAAAACGGGGGGGGGGGGGCTGCTGCTCTAGCTGGGGATATGATTTTATTTCGAAAAAAAAGAAAAAGAGGAACATGTTTTTCTTCTGCGGGGATTATAGTTTATTCATAGGCAAATGCATGCTGATCTCATCCTCCCTTGATCAATCTGTTAACGTTCCTGTGATTAATCAGCTTTAAAAGCCCTGGGAAGGTGGGGGGGAGGGCTTATTCTGGAGAGGAAAAGCCCGCCTTTGGTACAGTTCTCAGACCTGTCGTATCTCTTTAGCATATTTTCGGTCCACTCTGGGGGAACTCACACTGACATGGGTGGCCCAGGCGAGCTCGATTGTGCCAAATCTCGGAAGCTAAGCAGGGTCAGCCCCAGGTTTGTACTTGGACGGGAGACCAGAGCCAAAGCCCAGGGTTGCTACGCAGAGGCGGGCAGTGACAAACCACCACTGTCCGTCCCTTGCCCTGACCTGGATGGCGCAGGCTAGCCTGATCTCGTCAGATCTCAGAAGCTAAGCAGGGTCAGCTCTGGTTCGTACTTGGATGGGAGACCACCGAGGAAATGCAGGTCTGCTATGCAGAGGTTCATCTCTCGCCCTGACCTGGATGCCCGAGGTTAGCTTGATCTCGTCAGATCTCGGAAGCTAAGCACAATCAGCCCTGGTTCGCCCTTGGATGGGAGACCCCCAAGGAAGCCCAGGGTTGCTACGCCGAAGAGGGCAAGGGCAAACCCACCTCTGAACGTCTCTTTCCTTGGAAGCCCTGTAGGGTCACCATCCATGTTCCCTCTAAGCTGTGGAGTCTTGTGAGCAAAAATCCTACTTTGTGAGCTACTGGCGTTAAAGTTGTGAGCGAGCGATTTCGCTGCGGCATAAATCAGTTTGCTCTGGAGCCCTCCTTCTTGAGCTGAAACAAAAATGTGTGAGCCGGAGGCTAAAAAACTGTGAGCTAGCTCACACTAACTCAGCTTAGAGGGAACACTGGTCACCATAAGTTCATTGTGAGTTGACTACACTTTCCTCCACCACCAAGGGAGTCAGGGTAATGTGTTTGGTTCTCCTACTCCTCCACTGGATCCTCACAACAGCCCTGGGAGGTCGGAGAAGGCAGGAGAGAGTATGATTTGTCCAAGGTCACCCAGTGAGCTTTAAGGCTGAGCAGGGATTTGAACCTGGGTCTCTGCAGTCATAGTCTGACTCTCTAATAGCTATGCTGTGATGGATCTCGCTTGTTCCCTTTAGCAAAACACAGACGGACAGATGTGGTATTCTCAGAGTCAAGCGCATGGAGTGTGCTCGGTTGGACTGGGATCCCCAGCCCGTTTGTTGAAAGGTGGCAAAGAAAGCAGGCAGTTGTGTCGGGAGGGGGCGTGGCTCAGTGGTAGAGCATCTGCTTGGCACGCAAAAGGTCCCAGGTTCCATCCCCGGCATCTCCAGTTAAAGTAAGGTAAAGGTAAAGGTTTCCCTTGCTCGAAAGCCAGTCGAGTCCGACTCTAGGGTTGCAGTGCTCATCTCCGTTTCAAAGCCGAAGAGCCAGCGCTGTCCGAAGACGTTTCCGTGGTCATGTGGCCGGCATGACTAAACACCAAGGCGCACGGAACACTGTTACCTTCCCACCAAAGTGGCCCCTATTTATCTACTTGCAATGTCTTGCTTTCGAACTGCTAGGTTGGCAGGAGCTGGAACTAGAGATGGGAGCTCACTCTGTCTTGCGGCACACTCGGGTCTCGAACTGCTGAACGACCGACCTTCCGCAGCCTGCAGTTCAGCGTCTTAACCACTTGAGCCACCGCAGCTCCTCCAGTTAAAGTAGGTGATGGGAAAGACCTCCGCCTGAGACCCTGGAGAGCCGCTGCCAGTCTGAGTAGGCAATACTGACCTTGATGGACCCAGGGTATAAGGCCACTTCATGTGTTCATGTGAAGAGATGTGGACAGCAGTGGGAATTTGCCACATTCCAGAACCTAAGCTGTATTAAAAGGGAGTTTATGGTTTGTCTTCATTCATTTTGTGCTGGCTCCATCACATTATTGTTTTCAGTTGCATTACACCATCTTTAGTGAACTGTTTTTAACTGTGTGATCCACCTTGAGTCTCTACGAGAGAGGCGGACTGTAAATGAAGGGAACAGATAAATGGGGAAATTCATTCTGAAGATCTTTTATAGAGCTCTTTCCCCACCTGTACGGATACAAGTCGTATGGGTGTTCTATCTATCCCACTGGAATTCTGGCCTTCTCGAAGGAGCATAGACTCACATACATGGCTCTCTTCTCTGTGCTGTTTTCACAACAACCCTGTGAGGCGGATTTGGCCAAGAGCAAAAGAAAGGGGGGAAATAGCCCTGGACTATCTCTTAATCAATTTTGTGCATTTTTACCTTCCTTCAGGGGACTGAGACTGTCGGCCTTGATTATTTCTTCCCTGTATTGTCACTGCACTTGCCTAACGTCAACTGAGTTTCAGGCCTGAGTGAGGATTTGCACCCAAGCTTCTCCCCCTCTAAGTGCTGCAGGACACTGCCTGGACGTGGATGAGCAAAGGGTGTTTGCAAAATTGTTATTACAACAAGTGCGCAAGAGAGACAGCATTGGATACGACCCCAGGAATTTGTGTGGCGAATTTGCAATGATCCTGCAGTTTGTTGGGTCCCTTATGGCTATCACTCGAAGACTTCCCGCTGACCGTTTCAATAGTTTGCTGTTTTAAACTTCCTGTGTTCTGTACGGGTTTTAATCTGTCACTCATGCTGAGTCTCAGCTGCTTGGGAGGGAAGATGGGCTTGTGAAGGTTTTCAAATAAATAAATAAGACGACGGCAGAGAGATCTGGTGGCACCTTAACGGATGCGATTCTGAACTTTTGTGAAACGTTCCATATTGCTCTGCTGGGGAGCTAATCCCTCGTCTTCCGCCAGGATTTCGGTTCTGCGAACAGCATGACAGATCTTGACTAGAACTTCTCTCTCTCTCTCTCTCTCTCTCGCTCTCTCTCTCTCTCTCTCTCTCTCGTTTGCACGTCTGCTCTCTCAGCGTCACCAAACGCCACATGTCTAAAGGCCGATACTTCATTTTTGCTCTGATTCTCTCCTTGCACGTTGTCAGAGATGTC